GACCTCCTTAGCTTCGGGCTGAGCCACCCACAGGTGGGGGGGGGGGCACCCCCCCTTCCTTAACCCGGGCGTTTTTTCGGGGTGGGGGAAAACGCACCCCTGGCCCGGGGGTTTTTTGGGGGGGAAGCCCCCCCCCCCCCCCCCCCCCCTCGATCTCGCGGCGAGAGCACGAGCGCGCCGTCCTCCGGCGACGCGCCGCCACGCTCTTCCTTAGGTCGTCCTCCGAGATATCGGTGCCGGACCGGCGGGGCGGGGGCGGGGCGGCGTCGGAGCAAGTGTCTCGGCCGTCGGTCGACGGAGCGGCGACCCGCGAGCACGCTTCGTCGGCGCCCGACGAGGGTGGTGCCGCTGTCGCTCTGCCGCGTGCGCAGGCGTGCGCAGGCGTGCCGAGGTCTCGCGACGGCACTCAGCCCGAGCCCCTCCGGGCGCTCGATCGTATGCTCGTGGAGGCGTCGCGCGGCCGCAGTCTTCGCAGCGGCGGCCGCCGCTGCGGTGGATGCGGGCCAGAAAGAAGGCCGCGCGCGCGGCCAGGGGCCAGGGCTGGCTCTGGCTCGGGCGAGGGCGATCCCGGTTGTCCCTCCGCGGGCGCCTCTGGTCATGCCCGCTTGCTCGACGGCTGGGTTGTGCGTGCGCGCGACTCTCGAGTCGTCGGCGAGTAGTGTGCGCGGGCGGTGGGTGCCGTGGAGATTAGGGGAGACGTCGCTTTGAGCTGCGGGTAGCGGGACCGGGAGATGTTGGGAGATACAGACACGGCGGTACGGTGTCTGGAGTAACATCTCAGAGGTTGAGCAGCGCAGGGGGTGTGCACCTGCCCCCCCATCTCCGGTCCAACGAGTAGAAACATGTTTCCAAAAAGCAGCTACGCCCCGACACGACGACGAGACTCACTCCCCTGGTCGCACACGCTCCCCGACACTCGCAGCAAGCAGCAAGGATCGGGCGGGAGAGGAATTAGCTCAGAGAGACACGCACTCACACACTCACACACACACACACACACACACACACACACACACACACACACACACACACACACAGAGAGAGAGAGAGAGAGAGAGAGAGCGAGCGAGCGAGCGAGAGAGCGAGCGAGTGAGAGAGAGAGCGAGAGTACAGTACAGTGATCAACAGAGACCCCCACCCACACGCCGCGCAGTGTGGGAAGCGACGACGAGACTCACTCCTCGCACTCGCAGCACGGATCCAACGGGAGGAACGAGGGGCCGCCCAGGCAGCCCCCGGGGCACGCGCAGCCGTTACGGTGCGCGTCCTGCCCGCCGCCCGGCATCGGCGCATCCTCCGCCGCCGCCGGGGCCGGCGGCTCGCCCGGGATTGGCGCGTCCGTCATCGGCGCGCCCGGCATCGGCGCGCCCGGTGGCGCGCCCGGCATCGGCGCATCGTCCGCCGCGGACCGCGGCGGCCCATGCGCCCCACAGTAGGGCACGGCCACGCCGGGCGTCGCCCGCAGGAACGCGGCAAAGGAGTCGTGGTCGAACGTGCCCTCCATGATGGCGAGCCGCGTCGCCGCGTGGGGCGGGCGGTTGATGGCGTCGACGACGACGACGCCCCACGCGTGCTTGACGGCGTCAGCCTGCTCGAGCCCGCGCAGCCACTCCGCCGCGTCCTTCGCGGTGCACTCGTTGTACGACGACGTGCGGGCGGCGAGCATGCGCCGCATCGCCAAGTAGTCGCAATCGCTGCAGCCGGCGCGCTGCACCACGGGCGGCAGCGTGTAGCGCGTCACGGCCGGGAGGTGCTGCGCCGGGAAGCAGAGGGCGTCGCTGCACGCCGGGCAAAGGGCCAGGTGGCGGAGCGCGAGCCCCGCGCGAGTGCGCCGCGAGTGCGCGAGAGCCGCCGCTAGGCGGCGGTAGCTCTCATAGAGAGCGCCTGCGGGCTGCTGCTCGCGCAGCGCCACCTCGAACGCGAACTTTGCGTCCGCGACGAGCTGCGGCGCGTGTGGCGCCTCGCCGTGCGCCTCTGCGTCCGCCTCGCGCAGCGTCAGCGCGACGCCGCGCCGCGCGCCGAGCAGCCGCGCGCGCGTCAGCCAATGCGACGGCCAGCACTGCGGCAGCAGCAGCTCCTGCCCATCGGTGCCGCGCCAGGGCTGCTGCTTGAGCTTTGGGTCGGCGCGCCATTGCGGCGGCTTGGGGAGGCACTGCCGGTACCACAGTAGCAAACGCGCGTCGAGCTGTTGCGTGGACAGCGAGTCCGGGTCGCACGAGAAGGCGTTCGGGTCAGCGTACGGGCCCTCCATCGCAGCGAGCTCGTAGTGCATTTCAGCGCCCATGCTCGGCGGCCTGTGATCGCCGCCGTACGTCTGCAGGAGCCGCCGCACCTCGCGGACGATGGTCCTGTTGAAGGCGATGGTGATGTTGTCCTTCTCGACCGCCTCCGTCGCCTCCCCCTCGCCCAGCGGCTTGTCCGCCGTTTGGTACGCGTCCTTCGTCTCGACGGTGCCTCCGTCGGCCGCGTCGAGAACGCCCAGCAAGGCATCAGTGGCGATGGATAGCGTGCGCGCTGACGCCTCGCGAGCCGCCTCCCCCTCCCCCTCCTCCTCGCCGTCCTCCAGCTGCTCGAACAGCCGTGCAGCAGTCTTCTCTGCCTGGGCTCGCCGCGCCGCCTTCAGCTCCTCCTCCGCCGCCGCGCCCTCCGAGGCCTCCGCCGCCGCCGCGGCGGCGGCGGCGGGCGACGGCGTCGCGGTGGCGGCGGCGGCAGCCGCAGCCTTGCTCTCCGCCCGCTTCGCCGCCTCCCGCAGCCTCTTGTGGCGCGTGGCGCGCGCGGTTTTGGCTTGCCCGGGTCGCTTGGGGTCAAACTCGATGGTCTCGATGCGCCAGCCGTCACGCGCGTATGCCTCGCCGAGCGCGCGCACGACCCTTGCCCACAGCTTGCACTCCGCCTCGACGTCGCCCTGGAAGTGTGGCACCCTGTGCCACGGCCGCTCCGGGTTGTCCTTCTCGAGCTCCCGGTCGTAATCCTCGTGGCGCGCGGCAAGGACGGCGCGCCAGCGCTGCTCCGTCTGCGCAGGCCGGGGCCGCTCGACCATGAGCGCGTCCATCTCGACGTCCGCGTTCTCCTTCTCGCCGCCGCCGCCGGCGAGCGGCTTGCGCCGGCGCCGGCGGCCGGACGCCGCCGCCGGCGCAGGTGCGGGCGGAGTCGCGCGCCCCGTCTCGTTGTCGGGCGACTCCTCGCCGCCGGCGGCGTCGGGTGCGGCGACGTCGGCCTGCGAGTCGCGAGGGCGGCCTGCACCGGCGGCGGTCCGCAACGTCTCGCGGCGCGCCGCCAGCCACGCCGTGAACTCATGGGCGATGTCGCTGTCGTCGGGCGGCTGGTACAAGCTCGGCTGGATGTGGTCCATGAAGGCCTCCATCTCGGCCGCGGTCACGTCGTCGGGCGCGTCGACGGGCTGCAAGGCCGTGGACCGCACGGCGGGGCGGCTGCGCCAGGACTGGCGCGTCGCTGACGACGAGCCGAAGCAAAAAGGGCTGCACGACGGCAAGCCCGGCTGCATTCTCGCGCCGGGACGGCGATCCTGGTCGAGCACGAGACGCCGCCTGCTTTTGCGGTCGTTTCTTTTCTTGATTCCGTTTGTTGCAAACGGAATCAGTTGCAAAACCCTGAATAAAAAAACAAAACACGAAAATCCCCTTTGCAGCCAAGCCTACCGGGCACCTAATTCTTAGACATCT